AAAAGACTATCAAAATATTTCAAGAAAACAAAGCATAAACCCCATTTCACATTCAAGAAACAGAATTTCAACACTAACAGGACAAAGAAACATTTCAAACAATCTTAAACTCCAAAAACCTTCACTAACGCATCAAACAAAACAGCCACAACACTAACAAGACAAAGAAACATTTCAAACAACCTTAAACTCCAAAAGCCTTAACTTACACATCAGACAAAACGGCCACAACAGAACTTAAAACCCTAAAGCCTTATTAAAAAAAACCATAACAACCTATAAGAAAAACGAAAACCCAGATAATGAAAGTAAGTACATTTTAATAAAGATGACATCATTCTCACTTACCTTAATCATCTCTTCATGGATACCAACGTGAGCATAAGAGTTAAAGTAAGCCTTGTCAAACTCGGTACAAGGAGTGACCTTCTGTTCCTCGCCATATCCATCACGTGACTTGGCGCGTGCTCTTCTAACTCGGTCTCTTTGACTCATCCGGAGTTGTTGCTTGCTGTCTTGGTGGTATCCGTTACTGTCACCTGAGCTTGAGTACATTCTTGCCGCGAGAGTGTGCGTGAGACAGAGAGAGAGGACCAACGGTGGTTTTTTATGGATGACCCGAGAAGGATGCGGGTCAGGAGTCTGGTTCTAGAAAATGGTGTTTAATAAAAATGTGGGCTTTGCTTATTTTGATTGAAGCCCAATTAGTGTGTGTTATAATTTTAAAATACACACGCATAACATATTGATCTATTATTGAATTATTATAAACAGAAATATAATTTATTTTTTCATGTAATTATTTTTTCTGAAAAAATACTTAAATTACTCATAAAATATCCTAAATATTTTTATATAAATGTTTTTTAATTTTTTATAAAAAAAATTAAACTACTCTGAAGTATCTTTACTAACTTTTCGATGCAAATATTTTCTATTTTTCTAATATATATATCAATGGCATATATAAGCGCCACTTTTTAATTGAAATATAGAATATTATAAATTTATTAGTTAGAGCATATTCAATAAAAAAATACTATATTAAAAATTTAAATTTATAAAATGAGTTTGTGAATAATATAAATATAGTTTTTTTATTATATGTATTTTTGTAGTAAAAAATTATTTAGAAAAGTCAATTATATTTTAATATATTTCATGTTAAATTAATTTTAATATAATTATATAACTAATTTATATATTTTATATATAATATAATTATGATGTTATTAATTATTTAATTAATATGAGTAATTTATAAAAGTAATATAAAATTAATAAATTAATATGAAAGTTAAAAGATATAATTTAAAATTTATTTATATGAATATTTTTAATTTTTATTTTTATATGTTATTGTTAAAAATTTAATTTAATAAATAAATAAATTCAAATTCAAACTTTGAAAAAAAACCTCCAACATTTTAAATTTTGATTTTCAATTTTTTTTAAAAAAATTTCAAACTCTAAAAAAATAACTACCAACATTTTAAATTTTAAAATTTGAAAAAAATAATTCATCTATAAATATTATCATATACCTTAATATTTTTTTCTCATCATTTTTTTCCTCCAATCTTTGTTATATTTCATTAAAATTCATCATGAATCGTTTTAATTTTAATTTTTATGATGCTTTTGATTTTGATGATAACACTTTTGTGTTCGCTTTTCAAGTTACTATCGTTGTAGTTGCTGAAGAACAATTGAATAATCAAGGGCGAAGAACAAGGTATTGTGGCTTTATTCTTGGTTGCAATATTGTCAATCATAATAGCAAGAAAGGTGAGTTAAGGTTATATAATGATTATTTTGTTGAAAATCCTAAATTCATTGAAAGTTAATTTAAAAAAACATTTAGGATGAGTCGTCGTTTTTTTTTTTTGGATCGCAAATGCAATGAAAGCTCATAATCCATATTTCAAACAAAGAACATATGTTTCTAGTGTTCTTGGTTTATCTTGCCTTCAAAAGGCAAGTACAGCTTACATAATTCTTTCATATGGTATTCATGCAGATCTTATTGATAAATATTTTCTAATTGGAGAAACCACTGTAATAGAAAGTCTTAGAACTTTCGTCAAAGCAATTATAGAAGTTTTTGGTTATTGGTATCTAAAGACACCAAACAAGGCCAATATTTATTTATTATTATCAATTGAAGAGCAGTGTGGATTTTTAGAGATGTTAAGGAGCATTAACTGTTTGTATTGGAAATGAAAAAAATGTCTAATTGCATGGCATTAGATGTATATTGTTCATTGTCATGAATCAACTATAATTCTAGAGGCGGTGAGCTTCATAAGATCTTTGGATATGACTTGCCTTTTTTGGAATGTCTAGATCATTAAATGATATTAATATTCTTAATCGATCACCTATCTTCACTTCACTTTATGAAGGTTATACTGCTACTATTAATTATACAATTAATGAACATGAATATTTAATGGAATACTATTTAGCAGATGAGATTTATCTTAATTGGTCAACCTTTGTTAAGATAATCCCAAGACCATTAGGAGCAAAGAGAAAATATTTTACTAGTAAGCAATAGTCTGTAAGAAAGGACGTGGAGCGGGCATTTGGAGTGCTCTAATCTCGTTTTGCAATTGTATGTGGACTTGTTCAATAATAGGATAAAGAAACAATTGCATATATTATGAAAGCTTGTATAATATGATTATTGAGGATAAATGAGCAATAAACCTTGGATTTGACTATGAACATGAAGTTAGTTCATTTATATCAGTGTCACATAATAAAATACCAAAACTACATGATTTTCTTCAACTCATAATCGAATTAAGGATAAAGCAACTAACTCTCAACTACAAGAAGATTTGATTGAATATTTATGGGAATAATATGGCAACGAGTAGAATTTTTAGATTTGAACTTCTCATGTTATCATAATTTTCAAGTTTTTTATGCTTTTTTTCATTATGGTTGTTATCTTTTAAGCTAATTAATCCTACTTATTATTGTTAAGTGTTAGAGGAACTTCAAAAAAGTATTATGAATTGATATCAATTTCATAACAATATATTTAAAATAACTAAGAAATTTCTATATCTTTAATTAAAAATACATTACATTACAATAAATTAATCAAAGTTGATTAAAAATTTAAACCCCTCTTTTGTATAATTTGTAATTTTCTATTTTGAAAATACACTGCAGAAATTAGATCAGAATTAAAAATATTCATTTTCATAACTTGTTCTTCTTTCTTAATCCTGTCCAATTCTTATTTCTCTTGACTTTGTTGAATCTTCATGGCTTGTTGCTCTAACATAATTTTTCTATCTTGTTTCTTCTAATTCTCAATTTCAACTAGAGTATCCTTGAATTGTTGTAAGAGATTTGTTACAGTTATCTCCCTAACTTTATCTTTTCCTTGCCTACATTTAAGTCGTTCCTTTGCAGGCTTCTGACCGATTAGTTTATCTTGATAAATCAATGGTTCGTTATCTTCTCTTAAACTAACAGAATCAGGGGTAGACAAAGTTGATGAAGCTGGACTTGCATTGACATGACTTTTTTGTTTCTTATTTGACATTTGATGTTGACTTGCACGCTTAAATTACCATTTGAGTTTTTTTTTCAAGATAACCTAACAATGTTTTAGTTGAAATTGTTTGTCAACGTAAGAAGCATACATTTGTCGAGTATCATTATTCTGGTAAAAAATTAAAGAAATTCAATAATGTTAAAATATGTATTAAATAATTTAACAAGAAAATGAATATTAAAATTACCCTTGATTCTTTGATCATTCCATTTTGCTGACGATTTTCAATTTAAGTAACAAATCCAATAAATTTATCAACTTGTCTATTTATTTCTTACCATCTACTTAAGATACTTATTTGAGATCGATTATTTAAGTTTCCTCCATTCTCTATAAAGTAAGCATGTATGCGAGCCCAAAATTATTTTGTTTGTTGTTCAACTCCTATAATTGGATCCTTACTTGTATTTAACCATGTAAAGACAAGTAAACAATTTTTTTTAGTGAGAAGTTTTTACTTCTTTATGAATTTTTTATTATATTGACATTTAAATTTGAGTATGTTAAGTCATTAATTAATTGATTAGAATCACTTGATTGAGAGAGAATATCTTCTGACTCGCTCATATAAAAGTTGGTAAAAGAATTTGGAAAATTTAAATTTATCTACATTAAACAAAACAAATATTCAAGTTAAAACCTTATAAAAAGGTGTAAAGGAAGCTCACATTCAATGTCTAGCAATTTACAGTTTCTATACATGTGAATTAATAATAAGAATTTCCTTCTACTTATTCTAACATAATTTAATCAATTGATTTAATTATATTTTTAATAAGATAAAATATAATTGATCTCAAATTAAAATAGACAATAAAAAAAATTTAAAATATATCACTCCATGTTTTTATCAATATCAGCTACCATCATTACTTCCTTTTAATTTTATCAAAGATAATAATACAAATAAAAATTATCTTTCTTAACCCATATTAAAAACATAAAATAAGAAAGAAATAAAAATAATTACAAATAACAAATACAAATCAAGAGATGCAAAAAATAAAAATAAAAATAAAAAGTCTTTAAGCAAACATACCTTTTGATTTTAGTCGATATTATTAATTAATAGGAAAATAATTGATTCTTATTTTTTGAATTTAAAAAGAAAGGTGAAATTTATAAGTAAGTTTTTTTCCTTCTGTTTGTTCTGCTTTTAAATAATAAAAATTAACAATGATCAATGGTTACAAAATAAAAACATTGGCCAATAGATATAAATTAACATAGAAGAAAAGGTAGCTAACATTATTATTTATATTTGCCTTTTACTAATCAGAAATGTAAACATAACATTTATGGTCTTCAACATAAACAAATAAATTAATTGTCAATATAGCTACCCAAATTGAAGTGAACATAAACAAATAAAAAAACTAAAAAACTAAAAGTACAATATTTTTTTAGCTATTTGTTTATTATCATGGCTGTCACACATCAAAAAATCCAAGCGGCGTCGGCTCCGGATGAATTTTCTCTCTGGTATGTTTGTTTGATTTTATTGGATTCATTGAGAGTCGCCATCTAGTTTTAATTGAAGGTTACTAGGAAACCCGGTTATACTGGTCTTATCAGAGATTCGCGGGTAAGAGACTGGTTGTGGTTAGGGAAGGTATTAACACCCCTAACGCACCTTACCTGAGATAAACTGCTTAATGACTGTGATGTGTTAAAGAAGTTTTAAAAATTTTATCTTTTCATCAGATTTTAGAAATACAACTTCCGTACAAGTTTATATTTTTACATCGTGATCCAATCAAAATATTAAATCCTTCTTTAGTCTCTGTAATTTTATCATAAATAAAAAAAAATATTCATAAGACAAATATAAATACACACACTTTCCCTATATTTTTGTTTCTTTTCCTTTTCTTCTTTTTGTTTTTTTATTTACACTTCAAAATACAAATTCAAAACAATTAAATAAAAATTATATTATATAATTGTTAAATTACAAAACAGCCCTTAAAAACCCCAGAAATTGCAGGGAAGGCCTTCTGGACAGGGTGAACAGTGCACGTCGCCGTCGCCAATGAAGATGATAAAATCCAGTGCATCAGGAACCTCTTCCTCTTTTTTGTCTCCCTACGCCGCCGGTGAGGGTCACTGTCACCTGCAACAATAAGAAAAACGCATAAAAAGCAGTCGGTTTTATTTTTTCATTTGTTTTTGAAATCTGCTTTGGCTTTTTTTCTTCTTATTTGAATTTGCTCTGTTCTAGTCTGTTGGATTTGCTTCACTGCAGATCGGTCTCCTTCAATCATCTTCTTCCTCTGTTTGCTTTCCTTCTCTGGTTGGGAGAGAGCTGTTAAGATGTAGATCTGGCGGTGGCCGACTTCGTTTGTCGGGTAGAGAAGTTAGGAGAGGCGATGATCAGGTCTCTAGGGAGGAGCACGACGCTGCTGCTGTTGAGCAAAGGAAGAAGGAGTGGTGGACCGATCTGGGTCCGTTTGAGATTTGAAGTATTTTTGGGTTGTGAAATTTAATGGATTTTGATGTTTTAATGTCTTTCAATTGTAATTCTTCCAATGATATTGTGGTTAGTTTTGTCAAAAGTGGAAAAAGAAACTAACCTTTCTATTTTTATAACAATTTTTTTTTAAAGTTGTCTGATTCTGGTTTTATGATTGAATTTGTATGAACTAGATTGCTGTTTTAATAAAGAGTAGATCTTGGCTGGTTCTTGGTGCTATCGAGAGACCGGCTTTTGAAACTTTTACATTCATGGTGCTCTCATAGGCCAATTGTGCTAGCAAATCCTGTGTGGAAAGAGCAGCACGCTTTAAGCTTTTGGGACTGATTCCTTTAGAGTGTCACATACATGCTGAATGTTATGTGTTTGTTATAGTCACTTGAATATTTAATTGTTGAATCATATTGTGTATGTTGTGGAAATGCATTTCATTTTAGAAGTTTAGGCTGGAGAATTCTCTCCTTTTTAATATGTTTGACTTTAATTCCATAAAAATGTTTATGCAGTGTCTTTAAAGCCTGAATATTTTGAGGGGATGCGTTTTGATTTTACCAAAGGACTGAATCAGAAATTTTCACTTAGTCACAGGTACTTTTGGCTTCTTTATGTTTCAAATTCCTTCCAAACAGCTTACTTTATTTTTTCTTCTGGAGTTTGGCTCTTATTTTTCACCATCTCTCAGTGTAATGATGGGGCCAATGGAAATTCCTTCTCAATCTTCAGAAGCCATCAAAATCCCGATTGCTCACTAAGAGTTTGGTGCTAACTTTATAGACCAAAGGGTGGGCTGTCACTGCCATGTTTTCCTTTCCAAATCATTTACTAATGGATCCTCTGGGGTTATCATATCATAATTTCAATTAAGTGTCTTTATGGGGTCTCTGCAGACAATGCTTATTGGGAGGGTGTTGACTGATGGGAGACTAAATGCAAGAGTGAAGTGTGATTTGATTGATGATCTTGCCCTGAAGGCTAATGCTCAGGTAAAATATTTGCTCATTTCACCTTATCTTTGGACTTCTTTTCTTCTCTACCCCTGTTTTTTTTGGGGTAATGTGAGCAAAGTTTATGGACAAGCATGTAAGCTTTTTAACTTCTGTCATATTCTTTTTGTGCAGCTCACAAACGAGCCTCACATGTCTCATGTCATGTTGAATTTTGATTACAAGGTGAAGCTCTCTTTACCATGTAAATGTGCACATATCGTTCCATATTCATTCTCCTTCAAAAACATTGAAAGTTGGTGTGGCAGACATTTTTGTTACCTTAAGCATCTGTATTAGTGTCAAGCATCTTCAAGATGAAATAATCATGCTTTTTTCCCTGTTTATAATGACGTGATTTACTTCACACAGGGTAAAGACTACAGGAGCCAGTTGCAAATAGGAAATGGTGCCTTATTTGGTGCTAGTTACATTCAGGTAATAACAATTTCTGTTAGTAAAATGATATATGGATTTGTAATCGTTGTGATTGTGAGTGAGTAGGTAAAAGCCAAAGGGTCCTTCTCAATGAATAACCAGAGCATATCTTCAACAATATTTTGGATACATGATCGTTCTTGGCAACAAGCTCCATAATTTAGTTGCTATGATTCAGAATGCACTGTTTCTCTTAAAACAGTTTATATAGCTAGTTGTTTTTTTTTTTCAATCACTGGTGGTGTTAGTTATGGTTAACTTTTGTGATTCTCAATACCTTACAAATGCCTACACCTATCCTCCCTCCTCTCCAGCTGCATTTTAATTGTTTTTTTCTCATTGTTATTTTGTTTATTGGATCTTTATAATGCAGAGTGTGACCCCTCACCTGTCCTTGGGCGCTGAAGTAATTTGGGCTGGTCAGCATCGGAAGTCTGGTGTTGGATATGCTGGACGGTACGAGACAGACAAGATGGTAATTGGCTTGGCACTCATCCTTTATTGCATGTTTGAGCTCGTTGACCTATCATAGTTCAATTGTTGTGGAAGGGTAACTATGTTAGGTTCCTTGGCTCTTGTAACTTGCATTGATCTATGAGCTAAGGGACACATGATTTCTTGTTTCTAAGTGTTGGAGTGGCATTGAATACTCAGCATGCCTTTTTCAAGGAATTGGATAAAATCTTGGTTTTCAATTCCACAATTGGAAGCTCCTGGATCTAATGAGTTGATTTACATGTGCAAAAGATCATATGGTTCATTGAGAGAAAACTAAATGCTGAATGAAATTAGATGTAGAAAAACATAAACTTGAGCAGGTTCTACTTTTATGTACACTGTGTAGAACTGAATGTCACACGTAATTTTTAATATCATGTTGTTATATGCAATTCTTGATAATGAAAGAGATGTCTAGTCTAGCCATGATTCTGCAGAGCAAGAATTCTAAAGAGAAAAGGCTATTGATCCCTGCTTAGCTGATAGTTTAAGTGAATCTTCAAGCTTGTAAACCCTGTGCATTCACCATTTGTTAGAGATATTTCAACTAATCATGCATGCACAAACTTGTACTGGGATTCTAACCAGGACTTGTTCATTTCTTGCTTGGACTGGATAAAATTACTTCTTTCCCTACAGGTTGCTGCAGGGCAAGTTGCCAGCACTGGATTGATGGCTTTGAGTTATGTGCAGAAGGTTTCTGAGAAGGTAATCAGTTTCTTGAGGAAGCTGTAATTTGTTATCTAAATAAATTTCTTACATAATCTTTTCTGTTAATATTAGGTTTCACTAGCAACAGACTTCATGTATAATTACTTATCAAGAGATGTGACAGTTAGTGTTGGTTATGATTATGCCCTCAGACAAGTAAGTGGAGCGATGCCAATTTTTCTTCCTTTTTAGAAACTATGAATTTTAGCACATGGATACCTGTGTCATTTTAGCACTCCTTTCATATACTTCTTGTGTGCAGTAATTTATCTACAAAAAGTGGTTGTGATAGATAATATATATTTGAAATTCTACTCCATACCCTCTCGACAGACAAGGTTGATAGATGTCTTGAGTGCTTAATCTTAATCGACCTCTGCTTAAATCTAAGGATTGTTATGAGCTTTATCTTAATAAACCTTTAGCTTAAATCTGAGGGTTGATTTTGGTTGGACTGAAAATTATCATTTTCTCAAAACAGTGTGCATGAACAAATTGAATTGTGGATGTGGTCTCACTGTGTTGAAAGGATGTTTGTCATCTAGTTTTATTTTGGAGCTGAGTGGTTGCTTTCATATCTCAGTTTTGGCAACTGGTCCAGACTGTGGCTCAACTCCTCACTGGGTTTAGGCTCTCTGATACGGTCCTGAAGTAAGGATTTAAACGTCCTCTGTTTTTGGTAGTTGGAAAGACTTGATCCACCAACATAGCCTAGCTCTAGCAAACTCTTTGAGCAAATCATGCACCATGGTATGATATATTGATATGACATCATGTTCAGAGGGTCAACATGTTATTGCCTGGGTTGTCTACAAATACTCTGACCTGTAACCTGGATCATCAATCCTGCTGGGCCTCAAATTTTAAACTTGGCTAGATATGAGATGAATTTCATTGATGCTGATCTTTGTGGTTGTTTCAGGCTCGTCTGAGAGGAAAGATAGATTCCAGTGGGTGCACTTCTGCCTTCTTGGAAGAACGCTTGAATATGGGTCTCAATTTTATTCTTTCTGCAGAGGTATGTGACCATTTTATCTTTAGATTCTTAGCATAATGCTTCTGCCATGTTGTCACTTGCTATTTGCATTTCTATGTGCACTTCCTTTAAACAGATTTTCCCAAAGCATGATCCTCTCTCAAATCTTTCTTGGAGGTTTTTGTGTCATGTACATATTCTAACCAGTTTTGAATTTACATATTGCAGTTGGATCATAAGAAAAAGGATTACAAATTTGGATTTGGGTTGACAGTGGGCTAATTTAAAGAACTGAAGTCATCCGACCTTGTATCATCAAATTTCACGTAAAACTTTTTTTTCACTTCTAACTGTTTTGAGCAAACATTATTTGTGCAGCTGCAGCTGCGGAACAGGTTTAGCTGCAAGTATTCATTGGTTTGGTGGTTTGAATGGTATAATTTTTGCCTGCACTTGTATAGCTGAACATGCCATCTTGAATTCCTCGTCTAATTTGGCTCAACTTCCAACCTTATTTATTGCACTGATAGTGAGCACAGTTTTAACAGCAGGCATGGATATGAACTCACGAATCAGTGGACTCTTAAGCAAACGATAACCGAGAAGCTGAATCCCCACTGCAGCAAAGCAGGGTAATAAGAAATGCTATCAGTACAGGGGGTACTTGCACATCCTATCCTTATACAATGTTGTCTAATTTGTTCTTATATCTTTAATTATGTATCTATAAAATAAGTGAGATTTCAATTTGTCATTCCATTGACATTTTTCAGTCAAACTATCATAATCAATAAAATAATATACACTTGATTAATATTATACTGAAAATAACCATAAAAAATGTCCTAAAAAAATAATTAATTGCTCCCACTGTCGCTAAATATAACGTTATCTTGTAATGTCCTTATTAGATATTGTTGTCCAAACTAATGAAAATATATTATAGTAAAAAAACAAAATGTAATCGTGAAAAACTAAACTTTAACTTTACATGACTATTAAAAATCCAAAACCACGGCGCTATCACTATTCTCACTGTTTTTTGTTACTAAAACATGAAGAGAATTAGTGTTTATGACTAAATTGTAAACTATAAAAATATAAAAAGATTTGGCTTATTGTGAACGGTTATTTTTTAACAATAAAAAGATATTTTATTAAGGTTTTTTTTTATTTATAAATATATAATTATAATTTATATAAATTTAGGTATGTTTGGAAATACAGTATTTTATAAACTAATAATAATAATTTTTTTTTATATTTTTAAATTGATTTGATGGTTGAAATTAAAAATAAATTTTAAAAAATTAAAAATTAAGATTCAGAAAAAAAAAACGTTGATATTAATTATTTTGCATTCATATACGCACTTACATGCCCCGGTACAGTAAAATGTTTGAACCCTAAAATTAATTTCAATTAACATCATTAGAATATAAAAAAAGAGGAAGGCCTGATCAATCGGGATTTTCAGCAAAGGAGAGAAATGAGCAACAAAAAGAAGTCCACCGCAGCAAAAACTGAAGAAGAAGACCCGGTGGATCAGCTTCTTCAATCAGCACAAGACGAGTTGCTTCTAAAACTCTCTGTCGATTCTCACATGTCTCGTGTCTCTCCCGATTACCTCCTCCCTGATCTTGACCGTCGATTCCAAGCCCTCAAATCCAGACCCACCACCACCACCACCACCACCACCACCACCACTCAATCCTCAATCATCATCTCCAAATCACGACCGTCTAAATCTAAAGATGATGTTGACCCTGATGATCTGTTTGCTAGATTTGCTGCTCTCAAAGCTCCTAATAACACGATTAGCAGCAGTACTGTTTCGGGTCCTGGTGGATTTGATCAAGGAGGTGATGAAGACGAAGAAGATGAGGTTAAGAAGATTATTAGGTGGGCGAAGGACTCTTCTCGTCTCGACCATTCTCCACCGTCTGACGAGGATGAGGATGAGGATGCGGATGCGGATGAGGATGAGGATGAGGATGACGATGACGATGACGATGATCATGATGATAGTGATAACGACGACAAGGGGGGTAATGTTCGCGTAAAGGGTCATCATCGGAAATAGTACGAGTATCTTGCGACAAGTCGTTTGGTGATTTTTTTCCCGTGAGAGAGAATTGTTTTCTTTTTAAATGATCTTCTTGTATAAGAACAAAGCCTTTTTTTTAAATTGAAAAATAATTTGATGATTAATGATTGTTAAAGACTTAAAATAAATGTTTTATTAGGACATGGTATTTTCTTGAACTCTTATATCCTTAACCGATGGAGAAAGCAGCTGATGTTGGTGATGTATTTTTTTGAACTCTTATATCCTGGGCTGTTTGCATTAATAATACAGTAACATGATTCCACTACAAGCTAGAAATGTAAGAAAATTCTTGAATGAGTAGTAATAATAATGCTAATTCTATACAAATCAAACTGCTTAAAATCTGGCATTACTACTGTTGAAAAATAAGAATCTAAATCCAAACTTCTCTATCGCATAACTCAGGACTAAAAGGAACACAAAAGTTGCTTGAGAGTGCAAGTGATGGCCACAACAAAACCAGAGAAATAATGTAAACAGCTCAGAGCGCCTCTTGCAGCAAAATTACACTACTATGCAAATATTTATACCAGAATTAAGGCAGACCATAGCTCAGTAGCAGCAGGAAATTAAATTAAACAAAGAACTAATAAGCATAGTCCTGCTGCAGAGAGCACAGTAACATCTGGCGTGGTTTCCAGTAAGATAATCTGTGTTTAGAAAAGAGATTTGGACATAAGTATTAATTCCTATAGTTCCATTTGAGGCAACCATTTCTTTCTTTCCACTGTAATTAATTTATGCAATGTAAAATTTGCAGCACATCAGCTGAATTGCTTTTATCCATCACGAAAGATGGCCATTCCACACACACAAAAATCATCCAGGGAAAAGGACTACAACAATCTCAATCCCAGGAAAATCACCCAGCAGCTTTTGAGGGTATCTTCAAATACTAGCTATTACTCTCCCACACCCGGGATGATACTTTTCTCATGTTGAGATTTTAACCATTCAATTTCATGAGGGGATTTAATCAACAAAAACATATACTATGAGCATGTTCAAACATATACTTTCCCCATGTTTCGCGTTTCAAGGTTGCAACTTCAAGTTTAGAGCTTGAGTTTTTAGTTTGGAGTCTGACATTTGGAGTCTTAGGGTTTTAAGTTTCAAATCTTAGATTTCCAGTTTTAAAATATTGAATTTAGAGTTTAGGGTTTAGGGTCTATGAGTTTGGAGTCTTGGGTTTGGTTTTTAAGATTTGAGGTTTTGAGGCAAGAGTTCTAGGATTAATGTTTTTCAAGGCTTAAAGTTTAAGGTTTTGGGTTTACAAAGGGCTTATGGTTTAGGGATTGACGTTTAGGGCTTTTAGGATTTAAGGTTTAAGTTTTTGGGTTTAAAGTTTAGAAGTTTTCAGGGTTCAGGGTTCAGGGGTCAGAGTTTTAGGAGTTTAAAGGTTTAGAGTTTTAAGGGTTTGGGGTTCA